CTGGCGGGGAAGCCCTCACTCTCACCTTTCATCATGTTGGAATTTAAAAATGTGCAATGGGGAAGAAAGTGGCTGCAACTACAGTCACAGATGGCATTGTGTCTCAATCTGTGAGGGAGGAGACTGTAAGATCCACCAATATGAGGACTCAAAAAGCAAAAGAACATTACATACGCATGCACCATACAGGACATGGATCCAGGCGGTGGTCCCTAATGCCTGGCCATCCTAATGTATTGGCCCCTTGTTTGCCGTGCACATCCCTGCCCCATCAGTAACCAACTTTTTCACACCAGCACCTGTTGGACACAGAGGCCAGGGAGAGAATAGGGATGTTGCAGAATGAAGGACAATGGTGTCAGCAGCGCCCACTGGCCTATATACACCTTGTTCTTGCTTTCAGATACTGCAACAGGCTCTCACCATAGATACGTATCCGGAAGTTAGGCATCATACTGGAACAATTACACTCTGGGGTATAGTCAAAAAACTAGTGCCATTTATAAAAAAAAAGCCAAATAATATATAGCGCATTGTCACCTGTGCCACTAAAGTGCTCCCATTAAGCTTTTTGTCCTCTCTCTCTTACTGCATCTCAGTGAACTCCCTGGTTCTGCCACTGGGTGGAAGGAGCCTCCTCGGCAGTGGAAAAAGATGGGCCTAAAGGTTTGATCGTGCTACCCAAGAGAGTGGCATTTGTGTCTGGACGTCTGAAAGTTTTCCCTCCTCAGAGTGAACTTCCAAGGATTGGAGGGGGGCCGGCAAAATGGAGGTGGAGGGATACTCTGGAGTGTTCAGAGAGGAGACTTCTGATGGATCTGTGTGCAGTTCCTCTTTTGGCTGGGTCTCTGTGGGTCCTCTGGGAAGAGGACTCTCCTCTTTTGCACTACCCCCTTGACTTGGATTTCCAGGTCCCTGTTGGAGAATCACAGCACCATCTTCCCTTTCTTTGACATCTTCTGGAAACGTCCTTAACTAAGCAGGCAGTCTCTGTATGCCACAGCATGACCTGGTGGACAGTGGCCTTTTAAAGATAAAGCAGGTACCAGGGATGGTGGTTTCTTGCTGGATATCTGCTGAGTCGGGGGGTTGTTCTGAGCATGTCTTGTAGTAAACGGGGATGGAATCAGACGTAATGAACACCATAGGGGTGGGGTAAGAAGTTAATGAGGTGATTTTGTAAGTTACTACAATGGCAAGAAAATTTGCTTGACCTTACGGTACTACATGCCCAAAAAAGCTGGATGCAACTCAGACTTGGCCAAAATTAAACATTCCTGACCCGTGAGTCTACAAAAATCTTACAGGGGTAGAGAGAGACAATAGTGCACATGCAGATGAGAAAAGACTGAGGCTGAATTTTCCCTCCTGGGTAAGGAGCAAAGAAATGGGACAACTCCTGACTCCTCAACCTTGAGCATCAGAAATGTGACCTGGATGGTTGTATTTGCATTCATGTGTGGATGAAGTGGAAACTGGGTCAAGCACAGAGGTGAGTTGTGGAAAACGCCCACCTTGGTACGAATGAAAGAATTAAGGGGAAATTAAAATAGCCCTCACTCCTCATCACCACTCCCCCACCCCACACCCCACACCCCACCGCACCCCCCGCTCCCCCCAACCCCCCAACCCGCTACATACCTCACACCTCATCCATCCGAATTCATGCCACCATATGTCCCAAATCACCTCACTCATCTTCCATGGCCCCTCGGTTGTTCTGTGACAAGGTATGTCCCTCTACCAACTCCCCATGTCTCTTTATGACCATTATGTCAACATTTGCCCCTTTACTCAGAGTTTTTATAGGTCCCATTCCACCTCTAACTCAACCTTTGACCTTTTATAGTGACTGTTCTGAAGAAGGATCATAGGACTTGAAACGTTAATTCTGCTTTCTCTCCACAGATGCTGTCAGATCTGATGAGGTTTTCAAGCAAGTCATGTTTTTGTTTTAGATTTCCAGCATCCACAGTTCTTCGTTTTATTTTAATGTTTAGGCAATGTTGTTTTCAGTTTGACAGAATAAAATCTTTAAAACTTGAAAGTGTCATGTGATCCTTCCAGGCAGTCACTAGAAATTCAAATATCTTTTTGTAAGTTATCAACCTCTACAGGGATCATAATATAAGATGCTGGACAAAATAAAGCAAAATGTAGCAAACCATTATGACAGGATACTCTGTAAGTTGCATTCCAGATAGCCACCAGACCTGCCCTGGGCATCAGCTCTGTTGCATCCTAATGTTTGCTCTATTTAAGGCACTGATCTTATTGTAGCATGGTTTAGTTATTGGTCATGAGGTCATGTAAAGATCACGAACAACGTGTGCAGGAGCGGCCCTGATTACCAATCAGTCAGATTCTTCCTTGTTATGCAGGAGAAAGGAATTCAGGAATGGTCGGATTGTCACAGAATAGAAGCACCATGGTAGCTGCCAAGAAAGTAAGAACATAGCTGTATGATTTAAAGCGGGTTGTCATAAATCAGTTGCAACTTAGCAGAGTGGAAGTTTTTTGGAATTTGTGAAGCAAAAGAGTCCTTTGAAGCAGCTAGTTGGGGTGATGTGGGTTCACTTAGTATGACCTTGGAATTGCAGAATCCTGAAAACGATGTAAACTCCAAAACCCTATGCTACTGTTTCAGATATTCACAGTGAAAATGATAAAATTATTTACTCTTGAAAAATGGTAAGATTCATTGATTTCAATGAGTCAAGTTACCACCTTCTGGGCCAGAAAGGGGGTGTGGAGGAGGCACTGAACATCACTGCAAGTCTACATAGTATAGGACAGGTGACAAAAAGCCGAGAGAGGGTAGCAATGTTCAATGGTAGAGGGCGAATTCAAGCTGCACCAGAAGACACTATGTATAAGAAAAAAAACTAATAACATTTTCTTCCTTCCCTTTATCCCAACCGCATTGTGAAAGCAATTCACATGAAGTTATAGAAAGAAATGGCAGGAGGAGATGAGACTGGGTAGCATCACATAAATCATAGAAGAAAGCAATAAAATTTTCTGAACTTTATGTTGTCATTACAACATTAGAGAAATGTACAGAGACAAGAAGATATTCAATTTGTTCTAGCTTTAGCAATATTAGAGTTATTCAGTAATTGGGAGTGAGTAATTGCTGATAGTCTAATTATTAACTTAGGCGCCTGCATTTTCAGCCATTAGTTCTTACTGTATTGCACAGCTGGCTAAGCACCAATTGCTCCTTGTACTCTATTATCGCTGTTCACTATATCACATGTATGGAAGGTCAAAATGTCATGCAATAGAGATTTTTTAAGCAGCTTTATATTAACTCCTGGAAAAGTGAACTTTATGCCCATTTAGCAACTCAGCTGATTTTTAATAGCCAAGATTCATTAACATGCTACTTTGTGACCAAAAGGGCTAGAAGGTCAATAAGAAAACAGCAACTGCTAGGGACCAACAGTGACAATTTCTGGACAAGGTAAGTACTCCAGGAGAAAACTCCTGGTGCTCTTATATTCCTTCTGGACCAAGGTGGAACTAGTTCCTGCACCTGGCAGGTTTGGAATTATGAGGAAATGCTCACTGCTCCACATCTCAGGCCTCAAGTTTATACTGCAGATGGGGTGACAATTATGTGTTCAAAGGACAACCTGCATATGTAAAAATGATCCTGTCTGCTATAGTGGAAACCTTGCCACTTACTTCCTGACTTGGTTTCCACCGGACTGGCAGTTAGTTAAAATTAATCCCCAAATTTATGTTCTCTCCTTCTACCAGCTTCCCTCTAACTGTTCAAGTGACAGAATCACCTAATGTGATCTATCCAACTTTGTAGCAATTCATATGATAGTCCAGTAACCTAGAGTTACGTAGAAATTACAACACAGAAATACAACACAAAAATTTGGTGCAACTAATCTGTGTTCGTCCTCCACAGCTAGAGTGAATCTTTTCCCAATTCTTTCTTTCCTTATATTGCTTCATTCCATTTTCCATAAATCATATATATAAACTACCTGTAAAAGTTGGCATGGCCTCCATTCACTTCAATAGTGCATTTTACAGCCTCACAACTACGTTTACATTTATTTTAACTGACACTGTGTCAGTTACCTCAGTTGGCTGCACAGTTGGTTTGTGATGCAGAATGAAGCCAAAAGCATGGGTTCAATTCCCACACTGGATGAGATTACCACAAAGGACTTTCCTTCTTAACCTCCCTTCTTGCCTGAGGTGTGGTGACGCCCAGATTAAACTACCACCAGTTGTCTTTCTCTAACAAGAGAGCCGTCCTACGAATGGTTTATTTTTCCAGATTTTCTCAAATATCTTACTTCAGCAACAGGGTACGGTTAGGTGGATTAACAGTTTAGACCACATGGTAAACAGCCTTTGTGTATTTTACTTTAAAGCTAAAATTTCCACTATTCTTTGAGTGTTGAAATTTTAATTTATGTTTCTCTTAAACCAGAGTTCTAAGCCAATGGATTTTATGATCCAAAGACCCTAGGATGTGCTTTATATCTCAGGCTCTCCCCTCTCTTTAATCTTCACAGAGAAAAAAAATCTTTTTAATTAAAATTAAAAGTAGTATTGTTAGCAATATGTATATCAGTCAAAGACAGTAAAATGTCATTTCATTGAAAAATAATGAAGTTGTATTTATTTAGTACCATAATGTGACAAACATCCCAAGTAATGAAAAAACCAGCAAAATCTTGGCTTCACTCCTTGAACTGCAAGATCACTATTGCTGATCTGGGCTTGCTGTAGATGTTTCAAAATTGATCTAAAATCAGGTATGATTCAAAGCTTCCAATTTCTATACTGGAAAATAACCATATGGATACGCCCCACCATAGGAATCTGTTGTTTCAAGTCAAGTATGAATAATGATAGCTCAGGAAATGGAACAGTAAATTAGGTGGAAGATGGCAGACAAATACTGTCAAAACTAGAAATGACTATACACACTGCAATTTCTATTATAAGTATGACTGTAAAATTGTTACCTCCTGAATCCACAAGCCATCTATTTGTATTTCCTCTCGTGTCTGTGGCCTGAAGAAGTGCCACAAGGTCCCCTCTTTGAAGAGTCAGGTCAAGTTCTTTGTTTCCAGAAACATTACTGGTAACTTGATAAATTTTTTCTGGGCTGTATTTTTTCAGAAGAGTTTCCAGTTTTTCTTCATTATAAGGCTGAAAAGGAAGTTACTGAAAATCAATTGAACAACAAATGCCACTGGATAATGAACCGTCAATTGTGTGAATTTTCAACTACAGAGTAACTAGTTGATAGAACATGCAGCTAGCTATCTAAGAACTGCAGAGGGAAGCTTGACCCATTTAAGTGCTGAATCTCATTAGCATACATGCAGCAAAGTGTGTTTCAAAAGAATTTCATGATGCAGCTCACCAGCTACAACCTATTGTCCTCATTATTCTCATGCAGCCTAGAGGAGTTCTCCAGTCTCTTTGGGCTCACCAAACTAATTTCAAAACGTACCATTTCCCTTTCCTGATCCCCTGGCTTTTACAGTCCAGACTTTCCAAACGAGGGTCTAAATGCTTTGCTATGAATTTGACTCCATTACGGCTGAACTTTCATTCAACAAAGGGAGTAAAAATTGACACATATATTTAAACTGATCTTTTTGTAGCAACATGTAGAATTGTTATTAACACAAATAGAAAGTCTGCTGAATCTATAGTTAAAACATTTATTCCCGCTTTCCTAGATTTTAGGCTCCTGTAATCTGGTTGTGTGAGGCCCCCTGGAGATGAGTGATCATAATATGATAGAATTCTACATAAAGATGGAGAGTGACACAGTTGATTCTGAGACTGGGGTCCTGAATCTAAGTAGAGGGAGATACGATGCTATGAGGTGTGAGTTAGCTCTGATAAGCTGGGGGATGGTTCTTAAAGGGATAGCAGTGGAAAGGCATTGGCAAACATTCAAAAAGCATATGTGTGAACGGAAACAATTGTTCGTTCCTGTCTGGTGCAAAAGTAAAATGGGTAAAGTAGCCAAACCATGGCTTACAAGGAAAATTAGAGACAGTATTAGATCCAAGGAAGAAGCACACAAATTGGTTAGAAAAAGCAATAAAGTGAGGTTTGGGAGCAGTTTGGAATTCAGCAAAGAAGGACACATGGATTGGCTAAGAAGGGGAAAATAGAGGACAAGAGTAAAGTAGGGGAACATAAAATCTGACTATAAAAGTTTCTATAGGTATGTGAAGAGAATATGCTTGGTAAAGACAAATGGAGGCCCCTTACAGTCAGAAACAGGGGAATTTATAATGGGATCAAACAAATGGGTGACTAACTAAACACATACTTTAGTTCTGTGTCGACAAAGGAAGACATAAATAACATACCAGAAATGTCGGAGAATACAGGATTTAGTGACAGGGAGGAACGGAAGGAAATCTGAATTAGTAGGAAGATAGTGTTGGGGAAAATGATGGGATTGAAGGCTGATAAATCCCCAGGGCCTGATAACTTGTATCGCAGAGCACTTAAGGAAGTGGCCCTGGAAGTGACTGCATTGATGGTCAACTTCTAAGATTCTGTAAACTCTGGAACAGTTCCTACAGACTGGACAGTAGCTATTTAAAAATGAGACCGAGAGAAAGCCAGGAATTATGAGCCTGTCAGATTGATATTGGTAGTAGGGAAAATGTTAGGGCCCATTATAAAAGATTTAATTGCTGACCACTTGAAAAACAGTATCAGTTTCGGACTGAGTCAGGCAGATTTACAAAACAGAAATCATGCTTGATAAATCTACTGGGATTCTTCAAGTTTGTAACTCATAGAGTTGATGAGGAGGAGCCAGTAGACATAGCTTATTTGGACTCTCAGAAGGTTTTTGACAAAGAATCGCCTAAGAAATTAGCATGTAAAATTAACTGTACTTGGGTAAGTGTCTTGAGAAAGTCAGAAAACTGGCTAGTAGGCAGGACACAAAGAGTAACAACTCAATGCTCGAACTCCAGCTATTCACAATATATATTAATGATTTAGATGAGAGGGCTAAACGTAATATCTCTAAATTTACAGGTGACACATAGTGGGTGGGAGGATGGACTGTGAGGAGGATTTAGAGATGATTTAGTGTGATTTGGACAAACTGATTCGGTGGGCAAATGCACGGCACGTGCAGTATCATGTGAATAAATGCGAGGTTATCCACTTTGGGAGCAAAAACAAGAATGTGGAGTTTTGTCTGAATGTTTACAAATTGAGACAGGGGAATATGCAATGGATATCTGGATATCCGTGTACACCAGTCACTGAAGGTAGGCATGCAGGTGCAGCAGGCAGTCAAGAATACAAATAGTATGTTGGCCTTCATAGGATGTGAGCACAGGAATAGGAATATCTTGCAGCAATTATACAGGGCCTCAATGAGATCATGCCTGGAATATTGTGTACAGCTTAGTCTTTTAATCTGATGAATAATGATCTTGCTGGAGAGGGAGTGCAGTGAAGGTTTAACAGACTGATTCCTGGGGTGGCAGCACTGATGTACGATGAGAGGTTGAATTGGTTAGGGTTATTTTTGCTGGAGTTCAGAAGACTGAAGAAGGATCTCATAGTAAACTATTAAAATTCTAACAGGGGCTAGACAGAGTAGATACAAAAAGGATGCTCCCAATGACAGAAGTCTCCAGAACCAGGGGTCACAGTCTCTAAACATACAGGGCAAACCATTTAGAACTGAGATGAGGAGAAATTTCTTCACTCATTGTGATCATGGCTGATCGTCCAACTCAATAACTTGTTCCAACTTTTCCTCCACATCCTTTGATCCCTTTAGCCCCACATGCTATATCCAATTCCTTCTTGAAATCATACAATGTTTTGGCCTTGACTGCTTTCTGTGGTAGCAAATTCCATAGGCTCACCAATCTTCCCTCTGCATTGTCTTCAGGGTGAATGCTGAACAAATGTGTTAGTTTACTGCATTGTAAGCATAAAGGCGAATCCTTTAAGAAAATAAACAAGTAACCATTGGCTTAAGCCATCAATCAGCAACAAAACCATTCATTCGCTTTATCAAAATGTTTAGCATAGCTGTAGGAGAAATCGTTGTCTCAATTGTTATTATAAGAGTATCTGAGACATGACTAACACCTTCCCACCTTTAACCTACATGCTTTTTCTATCCCTCCGAGGCACACATGCCCTTTGTCCCATCAAGAAAAGTTTAGCTATTTGGACCAACAAAATCGTAAGACAAAGAAATTGTCACAAAGGGATAATCTGTCGTAAAAATGTTTCAAGCAAACTTGGTAAAGTTGCTATAAGACAAAAGCAAGCTGTGGGTCATCGGAGGTGATGGCCTTGTGGTACAATAAGTAAAATATTAATCAAACAATATAGATAATGTTCGGGGACCAGGGTTCAAAAACAGCTATGGCAGATGAAAGAGCTTGAATTCAATCAGGAAAATCTGGCATTATGGGTAACCACTGCCTATTGTCAGGGAATAAACCTGTGAGGTTCATTAATGTCCTTCAAGGAAGGAAACTGCTGTACTTGTCTGGCCTTTGTGCGACTCCAGACTGACAGCAATGTGGTTAACTCTCAACTGCTCTGTGGGCAATTAATGCTGGCTTAGCTAGTGATGCCCACATCCTGTGAATGAATTTAAAAAAAGCACTCAGTGAGATGAGAATCTGTGATCGCAAGCTCCAAAGGAGCAATGGTTACTGTGAGGTTCCAACAAGTGTGAATAGCTTTTAATTTTTTGCATTTTATTTTAATGGTGGGGACATCCAACTGAACAACTTTTGAGGTTTGATTACTGCTTCATGTCATGCTTTGCTGGGCACCAGTAATCCCTACAATGCAATATACTTTGGAGACTTCCAATAGCAGACACCTCAAAGCACTGGAGGAAAGGTGCCAGGTGGTTGAGGAGGAATGAAGGGGATGAGGGTACAATGGCTGGTCGATGGGGTGGTATTGTAGGATGCCAAGTTGGTCATGCTGGATTGGCAGGTCAGTGGGTGTGTACTCTGGGTAGTATGTGTGTGTCCGGGACAGTACTCAGGTTGGGGTGGGAGATGTGGGCAATAGATCTTCTTTGTGCAGAGTTTATTGACAATATCGGTCAAAGAAGGCTTTCTCCCAGTCCCAGTTGTTCTCCCTCCATATGTCCAGACACCAATGAATCAATTAACAACCATCATATGTTACATTTCCAACCTTAATTACTTGCTATCCTGATATGCTGGGTGACACCTGTCGTTCATAGGCCTGACACCATTCTCAGAACTTGGTCATGGCAAGAGGTTCTCTGAAGGACACATCCATAAAACAATCCTGAACAGATTAAACATTTTCACTGACTCATGGCAGGTTCTCACATTTGACTAGCTAAAATAGATTAATTTGGGAAGGTGCTAAATGTATCAAGAGACTTCACTGAGATTATGCAAATTGGAACATGAAATTTAGGCACTGGAATGCACACAGAACCTTCCATAAACTTAGCTGCCTCACCAATCAAGCACCATCTGCCCAAACATGGCTAAGTCTACACATGATGCACTGGACTTATCTTAGAATCTTTCAACCAGAGTAGAAGCAAGTCGTCTTCCTTCCCAAGAGATTGTACAAGAGGCAGAGATAATTGTCATTATTATGGCAAAGATTAGAAAATGTTGATGGAAAAGAAACTAAACTGAACTGAAGCTAATGAGATTGCATCCTGTTAGATACTTGGCTTCTTCCCCAACCCCACTAAAGAATATACACAGACACTAGCTTTATTGTGACATTAAAACAGAAAGTGCTGGTCAAAACTCAGCAGGTCTGGTAGCATCTGTGGAAAGAAAAACAAAGTTAATATTTTGAGTCCAATTATTCCATTCTGAAGAAGTCATACCATACTCAAACGTTAACTCTATTTTTCTCTGCACTGATGCTGCCAAACCTGCAGAGTTTCTCCAGCACTTTCTGTTTTTATTTCAGATTTCCAGCAGCAGAATTTTGCTTTCATTCCCTTTGATGATGTAATGTGTATAAGAAAAGCATACCACTAAAAAGATAATAAGAGAAACCTGTAATTGCAAATTATTTTCTTTTAACTGCATGAAGATTTGCAACCATCATCATTTCATCTGTCAAGGGCTATAAATATTGCACTGAACTTTCATAGCACAGGGTCATTACAGGCAACC